ACCGGTAAATGCATTAAAAGCTAAGAGATGTGCTGTTTCTGGCTTTTATCAGAATGTCTTTTTATTCCTATTTAACATTTATTGAAATTTTAAACAGCAGGTCAAAAGAAAATAGCCCAAACTATCATTTTGAAGTAAAAGATAATTGAGATGTTGTTTTTTTCACCAGAAAATTGAAAAGTATAGCTGTATCTATATCAACCTAAAATGAAATTCCAAAGTGAGAAAAACTAAGTAGAGCATTAATCAGAGAAGCTTTCAAAAGGCCCATGGTAAGTCTAGAGTAGCTGTAGACATCAACAATTAATTTTGGAGGATCTGTCAACATTTTTTATGCACTACGCATATTTTCCTAAAATGGAACCAAGGTAAAAAGAGGCCTTCGTTAAAGTAAAGCCATAAGAAATATTGTTTGTAGCTTCTCATGATTCGTGTAGATAGCACTATGACTGACGTACTCCAAACCATGTACGCAGTTTAAATTAGCCAGCCTGAGGTAGAACTGCAACATTTGGAAGAAGACACAGATGAGATGAAAAACATCTCAATAAATGTTTTGTGATCATGACAAATTATAGAACAATGGAAAGGGTTTAAGTATTTTTGCAGTATAGTGTATTTAAAACATATGTTTACTAGTCCAAGCGCTGGAATCAAACACTAAGGCTGACGATGAACCCCAAATGGCCTTGAGTATCCAAAAATTTAATTGAGACTATGCTCCAACATGCATTTTAATGGTTTGTGATAAACCATGATTCACTCCGGTGTGACGTATGGCAATGTGTCACATTAATCGCTNTAATTGAGACTATGCTCCAACATGCATTTTAATGGTTTGTGATAAACCATGATTCACTCCGGTGTGACGTATGGCAATGTGTCACATTAATCGCTAAGGTAATGAGAAGACAGGCCTATTGACCAGCAGTCCTATAGGACATGGAGGCAGAGAGCACAAATCAAAGCTGTCCTGCCTTGTATTGACCAGACTGTCTACAGGCTAAGAGATTCATATGCTAGGTGACCTGGGAATGAGACGTGGGAGGAGATCAAGTCACAGAGGTATGATTACGCTTAGTACTCTAAGGTAAATTATAATTAAGCTGTGTTTAAATAGAAGTGAGAAATAAAAAAAAATGTCTGAGTCCTTAGGGTTATTTATAAAAGAATATTGTTGTTCTTATCATGTTTTAGTTCAATTTAATCTCTTGTGCACTTAGTGAGGTCTTGTACGTGGAGTTTAATCCACAAAATGTAACCTAAAGTAATTTCATATCAGATATATTACTTGGAAACAGAAGTAAGATAAGAGTGAACCAGTCTAGGAGAACTACAAACTTCTGCTTTTTTTAAATCAGAAGAAATGATGCTGATTCACCTAAACAGGCCCATAAAGCTGAAGGAAGACTGGAACATTGAGAAACTCCTAGTTACTGCACCAGAGAAGTGTGATAAATGTGCACAATGTTGCCAAGTGAAAATTATCACAAGCAATCAATAAAATTGCAGTTTTTGAGAAATAATCAACTGTTTTCTGAAGATGTGGGTTCAAACCAAATAAATGAAAAAATAAAGTGGCAGTTTTAAGTTTAACAGAGTTTAGTTCATAGAGAAACTGTGTGACTGCAAAAAATATGAGGTTATAAAATAAAACTTAAGTAAATTTACCTTTCACTCTTGTTTTGTGATCATTTTATATTGTTATCTTTACAGTTTATCAACCGTGTGATATGTAAAAATAAATATTTAATTAGTATGTGCTTATCTTAAAGATTTTTTTTTTTACTTACATGTCTAATTTCACCTCCAATAAAAAAGAAATTGAAAATCACTCACCTACTGTTGACATCTATGGATTCAGTGAGCTGGCATGTGGGTTTCAGCTCCTTTCTAATGAGTAAAAAAATGAAATGGATAAGAAATGAACCAGTAGTGTCCCCTGCTGGTTGAAGAGGCAATCATCCAGGCTAATGAGTCTTGCTAAAGTATATTTAAACAGGACTGAACACTTTGAACAACATTATTATTTCAAGGTAAGAACACTTCTTTAGGTTAAACAATTCAATTTAATTCAAATAGTTTTTTTCATCCAAAAGGGAAATTAAATGTAAGTTTTTAAATTACTAGTTAGATGTTGATAGCTGTAGGCAGGAAGGATCTATAGTTGTTTTTTAAGTCTTCTGAAGAGGTAACTGATTGTCTGTGATGTTCTCTGTTTGAAATAAACCAATCTGATGTAGTAAAAAATAAATGTAGATCTAGAGGGGGAAAAAAACAATCTATATTTGCATTACATTTGGTGATGTAGCACAAAGCATGATTAAAAACAGGATCTTTTTAAAAATAAAATCTCATAATTTACAAATATCTGGCAGCATCCATTTGAAGCACTTTGCCTGCTTGTTGTTAATGCTGAGCTCTCCAAAGATCCCCTCACAATATTCCACCACTTCTACTGGAAATCTGCAAAACCTTAATGTGTGCATTTAGTTTCACTCAGTATGGGGGATTTGCAATGCCCTGTAACTGCAAAATTAAAAAAAAGGCCATATGATCAGTTAGTGCAGGTTATGTTCAAACAAAAAGTTTTCTCTGCTGTATCTTTCATAGTTAAAGGAGGGGCGAGGCGGGGCTAGAAGGGAGGCCAGTGGTGCCCATGGCCACCCTTATCTAATCATGGGCTACCCCTGTGGCCACCCCTACCATGTGATTTTTTGCTTCCATCTGGAACAAGCAGTTCTCCGCTTAACCAGATGGTGCCAGCAGTAATACTCCCAGGTGGAATGTTCTAACTGATTTTACATTTTAATTGCTTGTATATAAACCAAAAACTGACAGCAAATTTCATTGGTTAATTCTTCAACTCACTAATGTAAATTTAAAGATGTGAAATACAGAATCTATGCTCTTCTCAGACGTAGTTTTGTGTTTTATGGGGAAGAAGGCAAATGTAATTTTATTAGAGATAAATAACAGCTAAACTAATATGTATGATACTATTATTCAAAACCATAATAGAATAAAGGAATATTTAGACAATGTTTCCAGAAAAGTACGTTAAAAAAAATGTAAAAGTCTGTTCTAAAGTCCATCCTACCTGCTCTTTCGCAGATACGATGATTATCCCAAACACATTCTAGACTTATTTCTTTCTCCTGAGGCATTCCTCTTCTCATAAACTTTTAAGAATGTTTGCTTCCTGTATACAGTGAGAGCAGTGGAGCTACAATAAAACCAAATCTATATAGTAAAAGTGACATTGACATTAAGTGGGTAAGCACAAAAGGTGGCATGTGGGACAACCAATAGAAAAGAAGACCATCTGCTACCTTTACTTTCAACAGCATGGATGGCAAAATGTGTTCCTATATTTATTAGCAGGGATTTATCCTGTGATTTATTTGGATGTTGTGTTTGATTGTTTTCTTTTTGGCACAGTGTAGATTGACACTGAATTGGTTCTGACGCCTACCAATTTTTGGTCCACCTGCCCCCTGCCTAAACATCTATTACTATTTTATGTTTTTTCAGCTTTTTCTTGTCATAGTAGCTTCTTCTGCTCTGTTCTTGTTTGGCTGTGACACCATCCCAGAGAGAAATATCAGCTGGGCTGCTGCCTTTAATACCTGGTTGTAGATAATAGGGCCTGTTTTTCAGTGTTTAATCTTGTTTTTCTCCTAAACAGCTATGGGCCCTCATTTATTGTTAATATCCTGCTCACATTCATCCTTTCTTTCCCTGACAGAGCTACCTGAGAAGCTAATATATATATTATCTCTTCTTACATAGAAAGTATTTATAGATCATGCCTTTATGTTAATTTAGTATGTCTCCTTTTTTGTCTTTGAGTTGGCCATAGCAGAAGGCCGCTCACACTGAGCCTGGTTCTGCGGGAGGTTTTCTTCCTGTTAAAGGGGAGTTTTTTTCACTCCACTGTCGCTGAACGCATGAGGTTGCTTTACAGTCCATGACGAAATGAAAGTGAACATCTACTGTCGGCACACGCTGATCCAGGAGGAGCATGTCCTGGTCAATGACTCGATGCTGTCACAGTCTTGGTTCTGTTATGTTTTCTTTTGAGTATTCAGTTTAACTTTAATCCATGTTTTCTAGTTTTATTGGTTTAGTTCTTATTTTGTTGTGTTTTCTGGTTATATTTCACTTCTCAGGTTTTTATTTGTTGCTCTCTGTTGCCCTCTTGTGTTGGTCTCCTTTTTCCCTAGCTCCTTAGACCGCTCTCTTCACACCTGCTCACAATCTGCTCGTTAATCCTCTCTTTGTTCAGTCAGCCATAAATACTCCCCTTATGCAGTTCCTCAGTGCTGGTTCCTCGTCTGACTTTATCTAACTTCCTCCAACTCCCGTCTTACTGCGTCTTCTTCGTTGTGATTGTTTTCCCCGGAAGTCTCCTTGGTTTCTGATTTGTTTAACTTTTTTCATATTTGATTTTTGGATTCCTGCCTCAATTTTCTGTTGACCTTTCATACAAGAAACTCTCCTCTGCCTCCCTGCCTCTGCATTTGGGTCCTCAAATCACAACCAAATCCTGACAGATGCGGTCAGTTGGCTTTCCTCATGCAGAAATTTGTTACAAATCTGATTGTGTGATCTGATTGAATTATATCTGTAAAGTGCCTTGAGATTACATGTGTTGTGAAATAGCATTATAAAAATAAACTGAATTGAATTATAGTGGGGGGGGATAGTAGGGGTACTAGCATCTGATTGACTTGTCTCTGTAAACTGCAATGAGATGACATATGTTTTCAATTGGCAATATATAAATAAAGCAAGTTAAGTTGAATTGAATTGCTGACTGATTTTTAACAGTAAGAATTTAAAGTTTTACAGTAATAATTATAACTGACTGTCATTACATTTTTGTCGCTCCAAAACGAACTGCGTCACTATTAAATAAAAAATTATATTTTCAAGTTTACCTAGCAACTGCTGATGCAAATTCTATTTACTTAAATTTCAAATCCAACAGATGCTCTCATCTCCACAACATTGGATGGATGATTTATCGCTCATTCGCTGTTCGTAGATCCCTGGCATTCAGAAAGATGGAGGAAAAGGCTTTGTTTAGTATCAGGGGGTGTGTCTGGATTGGAAGCCTGCTGGAGTCCAGAGTGGGAGACGACTCGCTGACGCTGGAGCTCTTGCGGCAGATGCAGTGATGAGAAGAGGAGAGTAAAAAACACGGAGCCTCCGCCATCTGTAAGCCTCTCTTCTCATTAACATCGTTTGTGTTTCTGTTACAAGCCTTGTTGATTCTTATCCATTTTTTGCTGGTGATCGTTATAATGGTGCGTTTCCTCGTGGCCTTTGGGGATGGTAGTGGCGCGTGCGCGTTCACGTGCGTGTTCGTTATAGATATGACTCTCTTAGTCATTTAGCCATATGATCCACCAAAGGCCTGCCTGTAAACAACCTACCTATTTTCTTATTATTTAAGGGACGCCTGACTCTGCTGCATTGAACTATTTTTGTTGATGTGTCATTGCATCTTTAAAAATTTTTTAAATATTTATCAAACTCTGGGGGGGGCTTGAATAAATAGATTAATTAAAACTGCTGTTAACTAGAATTGAACAAGAACAATTGATTGGTACAATTGATGGATTATTTATAGGTTATCACAATGGTTATGAGGTAGACAAAATGATGTTTGAGGGCTTTTTTTACTTCAAATTGTGCCATACTTGAATGGAAACAAATTTGTGTGTTAAGCAGCAGAGCTGAGTGGGATGGTCGCCAGCCTGGTCAAACTGTGCTGCTGGATGACATTGGTCAGTCTCCAGCTGATATTCAAGTAATCAGTGGGGCTGGGGTCAAGACCATAGGCAGGAACTTTAATTCAATTCAGTTTATTTATATAGCGCCAATTCCCAACACGTGTCATCTCAAGGCACTCTACAGTTCACCAGATCATACAGTCAAATTGATTCAGAGTTTTCTATCTAAGGAAAACCAGTTGATTCCATAGTCATTGACTCAAAGGCAATCCCACACTAAGCATGCTTGTAGCGACAGTGGAGAGGAAAAACTCGCTTTTAACAGGAAGAAACCCCCAGCAGAACCAGAGCAGCCATTTGCCGAGACCAATTTCTATCCTCTCCACTTTCACATTGAAAGGATACCATTTGGTACAACTCTTTCTTCAACCAACAAATTCATTTTTTTCTACAAAGGATTTTCAACACACTGGATTTTCAGTAGTATGAGTTTAATTATCAAGAAGCATTGTTGCAAAAAAAAAAAAAACAACTTCAAAACTCAAATAAAACAGAAAACATGTTTCACTGTCTCTTTGTGCATTTCTTTATCAAAGGTAAAAACACGATGGCTAATTGATTGATTGGCTGATTCCTTTACCTCCTTCTTCAAAAGAGGATGCCGTCTCCAGTCATGGAGAAACCACATAACATGGACTCTGCCTCCTACTCAACTCTTTTAAGAACAGTTATTGCTGTACACTAAGCCTATGAGGACTCTTACCTTCTGCCACAGCTGTGTGGTGATCTGTAAGTACCTTCAGATTAAAGGGAATAAAATACATTTTATGTATAATTATCATCGCTATAAAACTGCAGAAGCATTTCCCATGATTAAACAAGGTTCTAGCATCTGCTTGTTTTTCCCATTTTTATAAGAGCTGAGCAGGGAATTGAAGGTGCCCCTGCAGAGGGTGAACTATGGGCTGCGGAGGGAGCAGGACGGATGCTTTAGAGCCTCGCTACTTGGAAAGCTGGACCAAAGAGACGGAGTCAACATGGCTGACGAGCACAGACACAGATATCCCCCTGTCATCCATCCAGAGCATCCCCTCTGAGAACTCTGAGGCTGGCTTTGTGTCAGAGAAAACAATCAGCCCTGGTAAGGGGACAGGCCGAATGCAGAGAGGAAAAAGCTTCCAAAATACATTATTCTGGAATATGACAGTCAATCCCTTATTAATTTGGCAGATGCAGCAACACGTTAGCTTTTAACATCCATTACTGTAAGGTTTTCGTGTTGTTGGTATTTGTTATCTTGTCTTTTGGTCTGAAGAGCGAGTCTTTTTTCTTTGAAGCCATTCAAAGACGAATCGCTGAAAAGGGAAATTAGGCTGCATCAAAAGCCACTATATTCCAACAGGACTTTGCTCTCATGGCAACCGATGCAGCTGGTGTTGAATGAAGGAGCCTTGATTTAGCTGTTAAGACAGTGCTCCAGATTTTAACACAAAACAATGAAAAGAAAAATGCAAAGAATTTAAAAAAATCAAACCGCTATGATCAGATACACCACCTTTAGAAAAAAGACAAAGGTAATTTAACAAAGCTGTTTCAAAGGGAACTTTTCTGACCTTTTTGAGTCTTTTGTGAACAGAGCAGGAGAGATGCAAAGATTTTTTTTTGCAGGCTGCCCCATATGCATGTTAATCCTCCCACACGAAACAACATTGCTAATGATTAAAGATGAATTAAATATAAGTCAAACAGGTTCAAGTGAATGGCATTTATTAATAAGGCTGAGGATTAATTGAAGTAAATAATTGAAGAGGTCATATGCGTTAAGCCGAATGATACTGATATTTGATTAAACTGATTCCTTATGTTTTATTAGCTCTGTGTCCTATTCAAATCAGCTGCTTAACACAGTGTTTTTGGAATCTTTATACTTTTTCAGGGTTTCCGCGGGTCATTAAAGTATTATTTTGTAAATTAAGGCCTTAATTAGCATTAAAATTCATTAAATGTGATCATCATGGCATTTAAAATGCTTTATAAAAAAACAAACATTTTTTCAAATATATCAGATTTTACTGGTTCCACGAGTTTGCATGGAACTGCTCCTGGTTGATCCTAAAGCCATAACTGCAACAGAAGCTCGAGGCACAGAAAAAGCTAGAGATTGGGGGGGGGGAAATGCAAATTTGAACATAACTGGCTGGAAAACGACAAATTCGGGACATGGCTGCAGCCTGTCGATGGCAAAGAAGGATTTGGCCGTGTTTATATATATATGAGAGTAATGGGTTCTTATTGATGGCATTAAAATTATTTCTAAGAGCATTAAAAAGCATTAAATTAGAGTTCCTCCTTCCTGTATAAACCCTGTTTTTACAGTGTGAAAAAAGAATAACATGTTCATCTATTTCTTAGTGTGGTAGAGGAAAATGACCTTAGCTGCATGTTTTAGAAACAGTTTGCCTTAAGGAGATTCAGGTTTTGATGCAGCTGCTCTGGTTGAGAAGGTACAATGGTACAAAAGAACTTAAACTTATGTTTCAGTTGCATCCTAAAGAAATTTAATATCATTGTTCATTTGGGGAGTTTAGAGTTGTTTTGCTTTGTTTGATTGCAATCATGTAATCAAATTATTTGGCTCCTTAAGATTTATGAACTTTACAGTAACATTCTTTTAAAAGGCATTGATTGTTGCAGCAGCTAAAATGATTAATGTTGCTTGTTTACATTTTAGCACTGCTGCACTTTAAAAATGAAAATGTCTTGAGAGCTATACTGAACAAAATTTCTTTTTGTATACAATGTGTGTACAGAATGACAATAAAGTCTAAGTTGTCATACCTCATAGTTCCCTTGAAAAAATAATAAAAACAAAGGAATTTTCGCCCATTACTCTCAATTCTAAAGTTATGCAAATTTAAAGACATCTATTTAAAATGCTTCTATATAAATTAAAATCTATTAGAATGGGAAGCACATGCTTTCCAATAGAATTCATTCATCTTGAATGTTTTTCAGATTTTGTCATTATTTTGGAAAGTACAGCATTACAGTAGGGGGTAATGTATATTTTACATGTTGAAAGATGAATGCGAAACAAATGAGCCATGTGATTCTTCTTTGTTAAAGTCCCAGATTTCTTTGAAGATGGCCTCCCTCCTCCTGCCCAGGCCTATCTGAAGGTTTGCTCAGCCGTGTCTGAGGCCAGTTTGAATGATGTGAAACCCAGCAGCCCACCGTCTGTGGTGACCTCTCCGCAGCAGGACAAGGTTCCACCCTCATCAGGCACCACAGTGCAGCGCAGAAGTGTTTTACACACTGAGGAAATTGTAAGGCCTGCTTGTTTATAGTATAGAACATAATATAACAATTGTTCTATTCAATTATGTAGAAATAATTCCGATTCATAATTTTTGCATTAACAGACCAAATGGCAGGATAACAGAATGTCAACGAAGCAAGTGACCATCACCGTGACCCAGAGCATCCACCAGGTGGACAAGAATGGAAAGGTTAAGAAATCTCTAACTACTTATGAGGTAATGAAACCGGTGGAGACTCTGAAACAGGTGGCCACACAAAACACCTGAGTGCAAGAGGTCCGACAAATGCCCGAAGGTGAAATAAATCAGCTAACCATGCCTCGTTGGGAGATAATTTGATGGAAGCACAAGACTGGATTCCGACTTTTGCAGATAATCGTGTTTACAGTTTTAAGTGTTTGCTGTAATTTGACATCTTGAAAAGACCTGCATGTAAAGTATTCATTTGGTCCATCAAATCATGAGATGTCAGTGTTTCTACTAAACATAAATTCAACTGAGTTGCAGAAGAGAAAGTGAAGAATGTCACTTTTTAGATGATGCTGAGGGAAAAAAATAGGTAAGACTTGTTTTACTTCATGTTGCTGAATTTTAAACAATGACAGACGTGGATCACTGCATCGTGTTGCTCTACTCTGTATACTGTTCTCTTTCTATCTGATGACTTCTGCTTTTTAATAAAGTATAAATGAAATATGTTTCTCTTACAAATGTTTCAATTAATTATGGTTTGTTGTGATCATTTTTTGTACAGCTCTTGTAGAAATGAACTTTGACTGAGCCAATCTAAGGCAGAGACATTTTGTCTCTCCAGTTTTGCGATATTCTCATGCAGGAGATCAAAACCCCACCTAAGTCTCAAGTTATCTGCTGCCTCCAACGCTTTTCTTCTTCCAGCCCATCTATCATTCATCTTCATATTAACCCTGAGCTTCCTAATCCCTGCAAACACAATGAATCCCCACAGCATTCTGCAATGATGCTCCGGGGTGATGTTTGGTGTTTATGTTCCACCAAACAATTCTAGTCTTACATGACAAGAGCACATTCTTCAATCTTATCTGTGTCCCTGCAGGACCTGCCTCCCCCTCGCCACATATTGATGGATGTACTAACAGTTAAGAATTCACACAAACTAATATCTATTCATGATCATTAAAAGGTGAGATATTTAAAGATGCAGTTCAGGTTTTAATCTGGTTTAATTTTCAGCTCAGAATAAAACAAGTACAGCAATCTGAAGAGTTTTCCTCTTCAAAGAAATATAATAATACATTTATAAGTAGGTGGTTATATTATTGAGCTCTACAAATCCAGCTGTTTAGTATTTTAGAAGAGGCTTTTACACATCTCTGGTGTCAAACTCTAATCCTCAATGCAGCCACTGAGGTAAAACCCATTGGGAGGTAATATTTTACAATAGATCTCACAGCTTTAGTCAAGAGCAATGGATTTAGATTTTTCTAATACCTCAATGTCCCTTCTAACATAAAAATTACAAGTGATAGAAGCCTAGCAGGCTGTTTTCCTCACAACAAATCAGTCCTTTCAAACACCCGTTTTACTCCTCATCTGCGGCATCTGTACACATTCCGTAATATAAACCAGTCAAGCTTTAGTTATACTGTAGAATGGGGCTGGGCTGCTCTAGGGTCAGCTTAGTGACAGAGGTTTGTGGATCTGATCTTCATCGTCATAACGAATGTGTCCTGATCTGAAGAACGGTTCTTCCTTCTCTATCCACTGCTCCACGTTGAAATCTGGGAAGAAGAAATGGATTTCCCTCAGCGCCGACTCTATAGAGTCTGGAAAAATAAAAAAATAAAAAAATTTTAAATTAAATCTAAATGTTTTTAGTTTTGAAAAAATTCAAACTACCACCTGAAGATTATATCGGGATGATCTTAAGACTTTTTCATTCACACTCAGACTTGAATTAACTGATAAGCATTATTTGCTTAATGCTCTTTGGTCAGTAAAGATGACCAAAGGATTTGGTATTTATTTGGTATATGTCATAAGAGACATTTTCACTTCCAACTTTTTTCAAACTATTAAGTTCAGAACCATTTATTTGATATTTGGTAGAAGTGTGTTTTAAATTACAACTTGGCTCAAGTGTTTTGGGTATTTTTCTACCAGTTTTTTACAATAGTTTGCTGGACCATTCCTCCTGACAGAACAGGTGTAACTCAGTTAACTTTATAGGCTGCCTTTTACTCACTTTTTAGCTGCAACCACAGATTTGTTAGGGACTGAGATCTGGGGTGTTGTAAAGGACACTCCAAAAATTGGACTTGCTAGCCCTTAAAACACATTCTAAGTAAATAATTGGTTAGCTTAGGGCAGACATGCCCAAAGCTGATCCTCAAGGGCCACTGTCTTGCAGGTTTAGAGGTTTCTCAGCTTCAGCTCAGCTGATTCTGATGATTGCAGTTCGGCAAAGGCCTGTTAATCAATAATTAATTAAAATCAGCTGCTCCTTTAGAAGGTATTTTCCTTTCATTCTGTACCAGTCTCCTGGATGTCCACAGTTCTCCGATATCATTTAAAATCCATGATGTCACACCAGGGAGCAGTGTTTACAAGGTCTTAAAATACATTCAGTAGTGTGACTCTGTATAGGTCAGATGTTCTCAGTTAAATTAGTCTAAAGCTTTGAAAGCAACTCTGACTTTCCTTAACTCTTCATGGTAATGGGTTTAGCATATACTAATTATTTTGGTAATCATAACTAATAATAAACAGGAAGAGTTAATTATGATTTCATTCAAACCATGACAAAAAAAGGTTTTGTGTCCTTTTATAAATTATATGTAAATATTTGGATAAATTTTATGGCAATTGGACTTAAAACTATTTTTTAATAAGCAGTTCATTAATATCTAAAAAAAAAAAAGTCCTGCAGACTATCCGAAATGTCTTAGATGTGTTGATGAAATAATAGGAATATTTTCCCACATTTGATGTTAAGAAACTATTGTTAGTCATGTTAACTCTACAATTCCTAACTGACCTGAGCCATGAGTTGTGTTCCTGGTGTCTGTGAGGCCGAAGCGAGCCCTGATGGAGGCAGGGGATGTGTATCTGGCTTGGAAGACTTTGGTTGGTCCCATCAGGTCCCTCCAGTGCCGTATCGCATCTTCTCGGGCTAAAATGTAAGCTCTCATTGGGCCACTAGAGGAAAATTTATATCAGAAAATAAAAAATCATTCAGTGATTTTTTTTAGAAGGGAACATTTTAAATATTCTAAAGCAAAAGAAAAATAAAAAAGACTGAAGCCAAAGCATTGTTTTAAAGCTGAAATTGAAAAATGCCTCTCTAAACCCATCCCGAGCTCTCTGAATGTTGCACTTTTCTAAACATGGTAGATTTCAGACAATCGCTGAAATACTGGGAGCATTTCTATGCCACTCATGAATTGAGCATACAGGGGATTCAATCTTATTCTTCATTTTTTTACAAACTTCATGCAGATTGTAAACAGCATCACCATTAAAATATCTAATTGTAATAAATAAGATTTGAATTTGAATAATTACTATTTTTTTTATTTTAGCTTTTTTTACTATATAGGAAAAAATAAATTCATTAACACCAGGGAATCTATTCTCACCAATGTAGCTAAAGTATCAGATGGATTAAAAGCCAGTTCACAAAAAAATTCTGGAGATTCACTTTCACTTGTAACAAAATAAATTCTTATTTGATTACCGGGGTCTTATTTTCCACTTAGTAGAAGCTTTGGTGTTTAGAACCAACTTTCCACGGATGTTTGCCATTTTCAAGAGTTTTCCAAACTAGTTTAAATGCATCAGTATTTATTCATGTAAAAATAATGAAAAAAATTCTGATTATCCCTTTGTGTGGAATTAGGCTAGACTCACCTTGACATGAATTCCACAAGTCTTTGATAGAAGAATCGGTCTGAGGATTAAACAGAGAATGTAAATGCATTTAGTTTTTAAAAAACAGTTTAAATTCAACATTTAAAGCCCAACAATAAATTATTCTAAATTCCCCAAATGTAGAATTCTCCAGTTTGAACTATGGTAAATGCAAGTACCTGTGACTACATATTTAGTGAAAAAGTGGCGAATTTTTGATCATATGGAAAAACAAAGACTAAAAGTGTACTCATCACTATAAAGTCTTAAATAAATACACTCCACACCTGAATGCTCGGCATAAAACCTCTCTGAATCCTGCTTTCTCCACACCAGATCTTTGCATCTGACGATTGCAAAGTTGTTATCCAGAATTGTCTGATGAAGAGCCTGAGAAGTGGATAAAAAAAAAAAAGATTTATTTTTATTTATACATCTACAAATTGCTATTTGAAATTAATACTTGCAAAGGTTTACCATTTTTTTTTTTATCCACTTTTTAGGCTCTTCATCAGACAATTCTGGACAACAACTTTGCAATCGTCAGATGCAAAGATCTGGTGTGGAGAAAGCAGGATTCAGAGAG